CACAGATGCCCGCCACAACGCCTGGCCATTTTTTGGTTGCAGCCATCATTGTTGTTTGGCGGGCCGGGCTGGATTCGAACCCGCCACCTTGGGTGTATGTGGCTGGCACCTTAACCACTTGAGCCACAGGCACCGAGCCCCTTGAAACAGTCTTAAGTTGCCTTGGGTAGAGTGCCGTGGCGTCATCACAGCTCTAAGCAACCTCAAACTTTTGGGCTCCAGAGATCTTTTTGTTTCAGCCTCTCAAGTAGCTGTAACTACAGGCGTGACCACAACCCCTGGCTAGTAAACTATTTTTAGTAGAGATAGGGGTCGCTCTTGCTCAGGCAGGTCTCGAACTCCTGCGTTGAGGCAATCCACCCTCCTGGGCCTCCTAAAGTGCTAGGATTAGAAGCTTGAGCCACCGTGCCGGCCAGGAATGAGGTGTTGGGTGGACAAGAAAACTTTGCACTGCACATACTTACTTAAAGATCCGTTTAATTAATTAATAGGTAATTCAATCATACCGAGACGACATTAAAATAAAAAAGATTTACATAGAAATTTTGTTCCCAATACATCCTGTACTCCAGTCCTACATACGTACTTTTATTTTCTCGTGCATATTTTGCAAATTTGAATACCTAGTTCCCTACTTTTACACGAAGGCTGCAATCTCTCTTCTACATTCTTCGGCACCTGGCTTCTCACACATAATTTTTCATATAAAATAAACACATAGCCTACGCTACTACCCCAGCTTCCCCTCCCCGCATCCCTCAGGCCCACGTGCACCGAGGCCTCCTTCGCGGGTTGTTTCCCGCACTGCCTGTCTGAAGGCTCAGACGGAAGCCCCGCCCCCTCCAGCCCTTTCCCCTGCTCCCGGACGCGCGCCTGGCGAAGGACCCTGCGGGCGCTGCCGCAGGCACCGCGGCGGACAGCCCGCCAGTCAGCGCGCCGCGGTCCTCGGAGGACCCCAGCGACGGCCGTAGTGTAGGGCCGGGTGGACGCGGCGGCAGCGGCGGCGGTCCTTGCGATAGATTACGCTGGTCGTCTCCGGAAAGCGTTTCTCTGGCTCCCTCTGCTCCTGGCTTACTGTGGTGCAGCCGGCGCCATGTCTGTGAGCGAGATCTTCGTGGAGCTTCAGGGCTTTTTGGCTGCCGAGCAGGATATCCGAGAGGCGAGCCCCCTCCCTCCCCATCCCCTTTCCCTTTCCTTGCCTAGCTGGGCCACATCGCCTAGCCCTTCTCCGTCGCTCAGTATCGGGCGGTGGGGACGCCTTTGAGGGTGGGTGCTTCCCCTTTAGTTTCAGGTTAGGGTACTCGCTCGCCCGCACCCCAGAGTCTGTTGCTCCGTCTGGATCCCCACTGTTCGGGTCTCGGCTTTACAGCATCACCTGTCTCGTTTGATTATCAGTTTCCGTCTTTCCAGCATTTCTGTTGAATGGCCGGTTTACTGAAGTTCCAGCCACCTCTTGTTTCAAATATTTGTTGGTGTTTTGTAAGCACACGTGACCCCTTCCTGCTTAAGACTCTGCTATGGCTTTTCATCCCACGTAGAATAAAAATCCATTCTGTGGCCTACAGGGTCTCTTTCTCCATCCTCATTTTATACTGTTTCTCTTTGTGTATTGTGTTACTTTGCTGGTCTTTCGTTCCTGTAGTGCCACAGATAGTTTCCTCCCTCAGGATTCTTGCATGTACTGTTTGCTTTTCCTGGAAAAGGCTTCTTTTCCTTCTTTTCCTGGCTACCTCATATTCACTCTCTTGATATCAATCTAAATGATCTCTTTTTTGTCATGTTTTCTAGTAGCATGTTAAGTTTTTTTGTGTGGGATGATTATTTAAAAAAAAGATTTGAGTCCCCCATTATATACTAAATTGCCAGAGGGAAAGGAATGTTTGCTTGGTTCCCCAGTATTTACATAGTGCCTAGCACATAAATGTGCTTAGTGAATATTAGTGAAATGAATTAGTGAAAAAAAACTTTAGGTTGTATTTAACTCTTCATTTTACATTGTCCCAGTTGGATATGCGGGGTGCTTGGTTGGTTATTATTCTGGCCCCCTGAGGACTCTCAGGTTTTTTTAGTGACTTTTTAAAGTCTCTAGAGGGAATAAATGGAAAAGTCAGGATTCATACCTGGTTATTTTTTGTGTAAATTTAGTCTTTGTGAAGATTAGTAGTGTTTTATGCTATTTAGTGTATTTGGTAAGAATCTGTGATAATAATTATGTTGAGTTTATGTGATTTTGATTTTTAATTCTCTCTAGGAAATCCGAAAAGTTGTACAGAGTTTAGAACAAACAGCTCGTGAGATTTTAACTCTACTGCAAGGGGTCCATCAGGGTGCTGGGTTTCAGGACAGTAAGTTCTTTGTTTTGATTTTGAAGATTTTTTTTAAATCTAATTTATCAGTCTTTTGTTTAGAGGGTTAATCTCCATTCAGAAGACATTTTATTATGAAAAATGTCCAATGTGCTTTATGGTGAGTAAAAATTGAAGAACCACATCGTGTGGTTTAAATAGGGTTGTTTCTATTACGATGGAATTCTGATGATGGCAATTACAGTTGTTTAATAACTCTCTTGTACATTTAGCAGTTTCTATTTGGCCCTTTTGTGTGTGTATTTGAATTCAACCTTTCCGAGAGACTGAATACCTTTTAATATGCATTTGTGTATGAGGTGAACAGTATAAAATGTTCTCAAATTAATGTGTTTCAGCCTGCCCCTTGAATGAAAGTTAAATACGTCAAGATAGTTTATTTATTTTGAGATGGAGTTTCATTTTGTTGCCCTTGGTAGAGTGCCATGGTGTCATAGCTCACAGCAATCTCCAACTCTTGGGCTTAAGAGTGATTCTCTTGCCTCAGCCTCCCAAGTAGCTGGGACTACAGGTGCCTGCCACAACTCCCTGCGATTTTGTTGTTGTAGTTGTCATTGTTGTTTGGCAGGCCTGGACCAGGTTTGAAACTGTCAGCTCCGGTGTATGTGACTGATGCCCTAGCTGTTGAGCTACAGGCACCAAGCTGAAATATGTTTTTAGTTAGAGAATGATATAATAATATAATTTATAGGTATCAGAGGCAAGCCGTTTTTCCACATGATAATGGAGTTGGTCAGCCTGATTGTGAATGGTGGCAAAGGCTTTTTTTGTCCAAACATGGGGGCTAGAAGCAGTCCAATTTTAGGCATTGTCTTAGGACTAAATAGAAATAGCAGCTGGTACACAGCGTTTTAAGGATCAGGTTATTTATGACAACTCACCAATTACTCATGTGTTTCCTAACAGACTCCCTTTTAGCAAGGTTTTGCTTGCTTATTTTTCACTTTTTAGGAAAACTAAAGATATTTTGAGAGCCAGGTTGAAAAGCAGAGATGTGTACATTTAGCTGTGGGATTAAACTTTAAAAAGCTGATTAACTTCCAGATAGACTACATAGATTATTAAGCAAGAACTATACTTGAAATTTTGTTAAGTTTATTATTGTTACATTTGATTATCTTTTGTGACCAGTTCCAAAGCGGTGTTTGAAAGCTCGAGAACATTTTGGTACAGTAAAAACGCATCTAACATCGTTGAAGACCAAGTTCCCTGCTGAACAGTATTATAGGTTTGTAAGAAATGCAGCATTATTTTATAATGTTAACTAAAAAAAAGCAGACAAAAACGGTATGTATTGAGTGATTGCTTACAACTAGGTAAACATTTCTCTACATAGAAGAAATAACAAAAAGAAAAAAGAACCAAACTGATAGTGGTCATCATAAAATTGGCGATTTTATCTTTTGTTTTTACTTTCAAAATTTTCTTGAACGTGAATTACTTTAATGGTGAAAAAATAATTAAAAAGAACATTTGTTATGCAGATCAAAATTGAGAATATTTGCTATATTCAAATTTCTTGTGAAATTGGGTGAACCATACTTATGCTATATATAGCTTTATATACAGTGACATTGACAGTGAATGGGTATATATGGCATTGAGTTTTACCTCAGAGCTTGAATTTCACTAGTAAGTGACATATTTAAGTAATATTTTATGTTACATCATTGAATCTATAACATCATTAATTTTAAGATACAATATTATTTATTTTTATTTTTTTGAAACATTTTATATTTCAGTAGGGAAAAAAATTTTGTCGGTCATAATTGTGAAATGTGGATTGTAAAATGTATCCTGATTTCATAGGTGTTAAATGGGGAAAAATTGCATCTGAGTCTTGATAAACTATGATATAAGAATCAAGAATTCTGGCTTGGCGCCTGTGGCTCAAGTGGCTAAGGCGCCAGCCACATACACCTAAGGTGGCGGGTTCGAATCCAGCCCGGACCCGCCAAACAAGAAAGACGGCTGCAACCAAAAAATAGCTGGGCATTGTGGCGGGCGCCTGTGGTCCCAGCTACTTGGGAGGCAGAGGCAGGAGACTCGCTTGAGCTCAAGAGTTGGAGGTTGCTATGAGCTATGAAGCCACAGCACTCTACCCAGGAGGGATAGCTTAAGGCTCTGTCTAAAAAAAAAAAAAGAATCAAGAATTCCTACTTTTATTTTCTTACTGAAAAATACATTCTTTTTTTTTTTTTTTTTTTATAGAGGCAGAGTCTCACTTTATTGCCTTGAGTGCCGTGGCATCACACAGCTCACAGCAACCTCCAACTCCTGGGCTTAGGGGATTCTCTTACCTCAGCCTCTAGAGTAGCTGGGACTACAGGCGTCTGCCACAATGCCTGTCTCTTTTTTTGTTGCAGTTTGGCTGGGGCACGGTTTAAACCCGCCACCCTTGTTATATGGGGCCTGCACCCTACCCACTGAGCCACAGGCACTGCCCTGAAAAAGACATTCTTTAAGACACATGTATGGGCAATACTTAGCTGGGGTAGATAGTATAAATTTATAAGAAGATTCTTGAAGGTAGGAATTGGCAAACTGCTGGTGGTCAGCTGCCAGTGGGAGCTCAGAGTTGCTTTTTATGTTTTCAAGGGTTGAAACAAAAGAAAAACACAGATAAGAATATATGATAGACAGTGAGAAAGTGGCCTACAAAGACTAAAATATTTACTACCTTACCGTTTACAGAGCAAATTTCCCGACCCGTGCTTTAAAGTAACATAACAAAGCGCAGAGAAGTAGAACTGGTAGGGTCTTTAAAGACCATCTACTCTGGAGGTCACACACAGGCTGCCCTCTGGCTGGATTTGACCCTCTAGGTTTTGTTTGACTGGCCTCATATAGAGAAATATTTTTGAATTTGTTGCTACATTTGCAAAGCAGGGGGCCTAGCCTAAGAATTTCCTATTTTTTCAAGCTTCTAGCTCAGTATCCCAAGGTTTTAAGTCAGTTTGTTTAATGCAAATGGTAATTTTGTGAATCAGGATTTTCTTGGTATTTTATACTCAGATCAAAATGTAGGAACAAGTTAGATATTGTGGCTCGTGGCCAGTTGCAGTTGTCATTAGTCCAGTGGCAACTTTTAATTTTCTCAGAGTAGTATCATTGTCTTTACTGATAAAACTTCTAAAGCATATTCTCCGTATCTTGCATAATCTTTAATTGTAAATTTTCATATTCATCAAAATTAGATCGTACTTCTCATTGATTAAATTTACAGTAAGTAAATATTATATATTTGAACTTGTAAAATTTATACCAAATCCATTTGATACATATGAATGTCATTATTGCCCTTGCGTGTTTTATGTTTGGGCTTCACAAAGATTTTATATTAAAAGGATTTCTAAACTGTTTGAGTTTAACTGTAGTAAACCCATCTTTCTCAAGGTTCCTAACCTTGAAACTTAAACCATGTTTACTTTCTTGCAGATTTCATGAACACTGGAGGTTTGTGTTGCAGCGCTTGGTCTTCTTGGCAGCATTTGTTGTGTATTTGGAAACAGAAACACTAGTGACTCGAGAAGCAGTTACAGAAATTCTTGGCAGTAAGTGTTTTCGTTGGGAGATCCATAACATCAGACATTATAGCTTAGTTTTTGGTGGAAATGGCTCTTGCTTGTATTTTTTGTTTATTAAAACAAGTAAGAACTAACTAGAAAACCAGTTATAGTTGTCCCTCAGTATCTGGGAAGGATTGATTCCAGCAAACCAAAATGTGAGGATGCTCAAGTCCCTTGTATAAAATGACGCATGTGCAGATAATCTATGCATATCCTTCTGTATACTTTAAATAGTCTTTAGAGCACTTATAACATTTAATGTAAATATTGCATAAAAAGTGTTATACTATATTGTTTTAAAAAGTTTGTATTATTGCTCCTTCTTTTCCCCAGTATTTTTGATAATGATAAGTTATCAGGGAGGGTCAGTTATACTTAGAAACACTAACACTAAAAATATGCAGTGAGTGGCTTGCTCGTTTGTACTTGACTATTTCTTTTAGGATTTAAAAAAAATTTCAAGTTCAGGTGGCGCCTGTGGCTCAAGGGAGTAGGGCGCCAGCCCATATGCTGGAGGTGGTGGATTCAAATCCACCCCTGGCCAAAAACTGCAAAAAAAAAAAAAAAATGAAGTTCATAGAAGAGATGCTAGAATAGTATAGGGAATACCTGTTTATACCCTACTTCGATTGAACACTTGTTAACGTTTCGCCATATCTGCTTAGTCTTCTCATTGTGTGTATGTGTCTGTGTGAATTATTTGAAGGTTAGGTGGATATATAATGATTTCTCCATTAATTGCTTTAGTATGTACCTTCTTTTTTTTTTTTTTTTGAGACAGAGCCTCAAGCTGTCCCCCTGGGTAGAGTGCTGTGGCATCACAGCTCACAGTAACCTCCAACTCTTGGGTGCAAGCGAGTCGCCTGCCTCCGCCTCCCAAGTAGCTGGGACCACAGGTGCCTGCCACAGCGCCCGGCTATTTTTTTTTTTTGGTTGCAGCCATCGTTGTTTGGTGGGTCTGGGCTGGAGTCGAACCTTCCACGTTAGGTGTATGTGGCTGGCGCCTTAGCCACCTGAGCCACAGGTGCCGAGCCTAGCATATACCTCTAACAAGAAGGATAATCGCTAACAGAACCATTCTTAGTAATATTACTTTTTGTGAGAATAGAAGGGAAAAATGGATTTTCCTTAATAGCTTTGAAATTCCATAGTGAGGTGTAGTTTGCTAAGGGTGTGGACACATTCAGAAGCCAATTTTTAAAAGATTAGTCCTTTCTTCACTAACAGAGAAATTACGTATATGTATATACATATATAAATATGTATTTATATTCTTAACCTTGAATTACATTCACATTATAACTTTGATGTTTTTAGTTGAGCCAGATCGGGAGAAAGGATTTCATCTGGATGTAGAAGATTACCTCTCAGGAGTTCTAATTCTTGCTAGTGAACTGGTAAGCTTAGTAATTTGCTGGTTCCTTTTCTGATATTTCCACTTTCCCGTTTTTTAAATGGGTACCAAATTCAAGAAGGCTTAATTCTTTTCTGAGCTAACTGTGCCACCAGGTATTCATTGACTGTGCACTCTATTTGTTACAGTTTGGTAAGTATCAAAGAAATGCCAGTCAAAATGATGAAGTAAGTGTGCATGCTTACAAGTGTGTGTGTGTTGTTCTTTTTTTTTGAGACAGAGTCTTACTCTGTCACCTGGGCTAGAGTGCCATGCATCAGCTTAGCTCATGGCAACCTGAAACTCCCAGGCTCAATTGATTCTCCTGTGTTAGCCTCTGGAATAGCTGAAACTACAGGAGCCTGCCACAACACCTAATGTTTCTATTTTTAGAAGAGACAGGGTCTCACTCTTGCCCAGGCTGGTCTTGACCTCCTGAGCTCAAGCCATCCTCTCACCTCAGCTTCACATAGAGCTAGGATTACAAGTGTGAGCCACTACATCTGGCCTTTTTTTGTTTTTGTTTTTTGGAGCTGGGAATCTTTGCTATGTTGCCTAGGCTCATCCTAAACTCCTGTGCTCAAGTGATCCTCCTGCCTAGCTGAGACTGTAGGTGTACCTAGCTTAATGTTAATGTGTAAATTTTTTTTCTTTTTAAATAGATTCATGGTCTTGCTTTGTCACCCATGTTGGACCTCCTAAGCTCAAGTGATCCTTCTCCCTTAGCCTTCAGAGTAGCTTGGACTGTACTACCACACTTGCCAGTTTTTCTTTTGTAGAGATTGGGTCTTGCTATGTACCCAAGGCTGGTTTTAATTCCTGGCCTCAAGTGATCCTTCTATCTTGGCCTTCCAGTGTGCTGGGATTATAGGAGTGAGCAACTGATCCAATGTGTGAAATTTTGAAAGATGATAGTATCTCTTTTAGAGTAATGTGGCCAGGTGCAGTAGCATACACCTGTAATCCTAGCACTCTGGGAGGCTGAGGCAGGTGGATTGCCTGAGCTCACAGGTTTAAGACCAGCCTGAGCAAGAGCGAGACCCCACCTTTAAAAATAACTGGGCGTGTGGCAGGTGCTTATAGTCCCAGCTACTCAGGTACTCAGGAGGCTGAGCCCAAGAGTTTGAGGTTGTTGTGAGCTATGATGCCACAGCATTCTACCAGTGGCAACAAAGTGAGACTCTGTCTCAAGGAAAAAAAAATAAAAACGTAATGCATATGTTCCTGGTAACTGGTAATTCATCTAATCATTTTGGAGAACAGTTTACTTGTATAACTATAGAAGTTATCCACTTAATCTCTGGGGAAATTTTCCTCTTAAAATTTAAAGAAGAGGCTGGGCATGGTGGCTCATGCCTATAATCTTAGCACTCTGGGAGGGTGAGGCTGAAAGATCCTTTGAGCTCAGGAGTTTAGGACCAGCCTGAGCTAGAGTGAGACTCATCTCTAAAAATAGCCAGGTGTTGTGGCAGGCTTCTGTAGTCCTAGCTATTCAGGAGGCTGAGGCAGGAGGATCTCTCAAACTCAGGAATTTGAGGTTGCTGTGAGCTAGGCTGATGCCAGGGCACTCCAGCCTGGGCAACAGAGTGAGACACTGGCATAAAAAATATTTTTTTAAAGAAGAATAAAAGCTGTCAACAGAAGAGTAGTTGTGACAGAAACTGCAGCCTACAGAGGAGAAAATTTTACTGATTTTGGGTGATTACAGGTGCAGCTAAATAGATGGGCTCTAGAAATGCAGTCACATGGCCTAGATTTGAAGAGGTACCTGACTGCTTTGATCATACTTTGTACATTAGCAGATGAGCTATAAGTTGATGCTTGCATAATTTAACACATTTTATTGTGTAATAACCAGTTTAATAAATTAGAGACATTTTTGAAGCTGTTATATTCTTTATTTGGCAGAAATGGTCTCATTTTCACTGGGCTGCTTTTTAGGAGAACATCCTGTTTTGTCTGTGCTTACCTGTATCCTGAGATAGAACATAAGTATAGCTGGTTATGCCTGAGGTTCTGCAGTTGTGATTTGGAGAAGACGTGCCACAGAGGCCCCACACTGTCACATACCCCTGTTTCTCTTTGTGCAGTCAAGGCTGTCCGTTAACAGTGTGACTGCTGGAGACTACTCTCGGCCTCTCCACATCTCCACTTTCATCAATGAGCTGGATTCCGGTTTCCGCCTTCTCAACCTGAAAAATGACTCCCTCAGGAAGCGCTATGATGGATTGAAGTATGACGTGAAGAAAGTAGAAGAGGTGGTCTATGACCTCTCCATCCGGGGCTTCAATAAGGAGACAGCAGCGGCTTGTGTTGAAAAATAGGAGGCTCTCCCTGGCCCTGGCCTTGCTGACCTCAGCGGTTGCCAGGAAGGGGTGAGCACAGAGTGCCTCTTATGGTAGTTAGGACGCCCAGTTGCTGAACACTGCGCTTTATTTTCTTAACCAGTTGTGTGGTGTGAATATCAGAATTGAAACACTTTTGGGTGGAATTAAAAAAGTAGCCTTTACATGACAGATTTTTTTCATTGTTTCAGTGAATTTGCTCTGTAATTCAGTGTATTTCAGTTCTGTCAAAAAATGTAAGTGTCAGTCTCTTGGTAAAGCCCTTTTCTTGCTTACCCGACTGTGGATGTACTGATTGCGAAGTTTACTGTCTCGTTTGTGGTTCTTCTAGATGTGATGCTTTACATTCTCTATATCCAAGTTAGCCATCCATACCCAGATGTAGCCTGGATACAGTATAAAAATAGGTAATTAAAAAGGATGGTCATCAAGCAAGGAAAACTTACTTTACATATTTTCCCTTCCTTGTTTAAGCCTTGTGAGTAAATCAGATGTTGAATTTTTTTGGCCAAGGGAGTAGATAGCCCAGGTTATTTCTCACTGCCATCAAAATAGGAAAGTTTAAAATGAAAAGTCAGGCTCAACAGATTATTTTGCAAAGTTTTGTATTAAGGGAGTTAGTAACACCGTATCATTTTGTCGTGCTGTGCAGGGAGTAGGGCTTAGTGTCTTCAAACACCTCTGTGTTCTGATATTGCCTTATCAGTATGTTGTTGCAGCAAGTAAAAATTGAAAAATTGTGTTCACACATCTTGAACTTACAAGTCCTGTGATATTTTCCTAAACTATAAAACTTTCTGTCTTATCAGCCAGCTATACTGTTTGGTCTAGATGTATAACCCACATAATAAACAAAACCCTGACTAGTATGTTAGAGAAGAATGCTGTGCTTTGCCAGGAAGAAAGAGAAAACCTTGAATTTAAAAAAAAAAATTGGTTTGATTTGGTAGTGTTTTCTAGAGTAAGAAATTTCAGGTTGGTGGCTGTCTGAACAGGTTTTAAATTTACACTTCGGGACAAGTCATGTAAATCTCATTGGCAGCCTCCCTCCCTGTTTTCAAATGGTACTGAGAATATTTTCCAGGTAACTCTTGCTATTGAATTGAAATTAACATGGTGACTTAATCCATAGTTATTTGGTACCCACTGAAAAGAAAGTGCTAGTGTTTCTAGAATAATATGAAGGTTTTAAAAGTGTTACCCTTTCTTGCCAAATAATTAATTTGGCCTCCCTGTTTATAGGATAGGATATTTGGCCTGGCCCTTACAGCTTATATGAGGCCAAATTACTGGCAGACTACATTTTCCATCATGAGGAAAGAAGAGGAAATGAGGCATGAGTTGCTGTGCATTGGTGGATTTTAGAACAATTTTCTTGACAACTGTTTCTACAGAATTTATAGAGAGAAAAAGGTGTTAGGTTCCTAAAAGTGCCCAGCTGGTCACTTAACATGTGGACTAATAACACTGCCTGGATGGTGCATAGAAGGCTTTGCAGTTACATGATCAGACATAGGCAGTAAGTTTAATACAGATTTTTGTTTTTCAATTTTCCCTTTAAGTGTTGATTCTGCTCAAGAATATTAAAGTATTCACCAGAAGTTGTAGATTTCCATTTTAATAAATGCAGTTTAAGTGGAGGAACACATTTTAGTCCTGAAATTCCATTTGAGAATTTAGAAAAGTCATGTTTATAATTCAGTTTTGTTTGTTGCTGGCTTGTTGTAAAGCAATAAAAATGTTTTTTGGTCTTTTTGTCACTGAGTGTGCTGCCGTGAGAACTATTCTAGGTAGAGAATAAATTCTGAATATTTTTGTGGCTGAAGAAGGCCAGGGATGGCCAGCACATGCTGCTGTGTAATGGTCACACTAGCCAAAAGACACCGGCCACTCAGTTCTTTACTGCGAAGGTTAGATAACATTTGTGTGGGCTACCTTGATTAGGGGGATTAAAGGTAGTTGAACTGAAGATGTTGTGAAAATTTGGCTTTGGTTTTAGTATGCCAGAATTACTGTTTTTAATTTTAGAAAATAAAGCAGTTAGAGAAATGAGAGGAATTAGGGGATACTTTCCTATGGATTTATTTATAGGAGGAAGAAGAGAACCTGTCATAAATACTTGGTGAAATTTGCCTTGTCTTAAACTTTGAATAATATGAGTAATGCTTAAGGTCATAAAAACGAAAAGCTTTGGTAGTATTTTGAGACCTTTACTTAAATAAGTGGCTAAAGAGATGAGACAAACATGTAGGTTGCTCCTGGCATGGTTTCATAATTATAATTCAGAAATTAAAGCTGTTTCTTGTTCTGTACTAAACTATTTGTCCTTCTTTTCAAACACAGCAGCATTGGCATGCCTGACACCAAAGGCTTTCCCTGAGTCTGAGATAATTTGTTAGTAGCCACTGTAATAAGCATTGAACAAGCACAAATGAACAATTTCCCCCAACCCAATGGTTAAAAAGAACAAGCATTTAAGGAATTAAAATTGCCAAGACTGATTGGTTGAGTGAGAGTGTGCTGAGGGAAGGGAGTATTCCAGCATAGCTGCCAGGTGTGGGCCCGGGTGACTAAGTGGAGTTGGTGCTGTTCACTGAGGTGGGGAAGGCAGGAGGACGTGCATGTGGAGGGGGCTGGGCAGCTGAGGCATTTGCTTTTGGATTTTTTGCATACATGATGCTTGTGGAGCAGCCAGATGAATAAATCAGAGGTGGGTAAGATCTGTCTGGAGAACATGTAGTATGAGAAGAGTCCTGAACTGAGGATGAGAGTTTGATTAACAGCAGCATGGTTTTAGTGAGTTAGAAGCAGTAGAGTCCACGAGAGAGTAGGGAAATGGTCAGAGAGGTTGACAGCGGGGAGAGTGGCTTGTCACAGAACCCAGGGGAATAAAGGGTCTTGAGTTTTGAGGCCAGGTGCGGCAACTCACACCTGTCATCTCAATACTTTGGGAGGCTGAGGTGTGAGGATTACCTGAGACCACCCTGGGCAACATGGCAAGACTCTGTCTCTACAAAAAATAAATTATCTGGGCATGTCTGAGCATGGTGGTGTGTATACCTGAAGTCTAGGTACTTGGGAGACTATTGTGGGAGGATTGCTGGAGTCCAGGAGTTCAAAGTTGTACTGAGCTATGATTGTACCACTGCACTCCAGCCTGAGCCATAGAGTAAGAGCCTACCTCTTTAAAAAAAATGGGAGTAAGATTTTAAATGAGTCCGTCACCTGAGAGCCCCATTGCTTTATCTGTCAGCTAGGCTAGATTATGTAGCCCCCAAAGCTCATAGACATGCAATCATGTTTCCCTCTCCATTGCTGCCTAGCTGGGGAGTCTGGTGTACACTGTTCTCATCTCTAGGCTGTCAGAGCAGCCACCACCTGGATGCTGCTAGCTGTGTGGGACAGGGGAAAAACTGGAGCTTCTGGTACGAATATATACTATAGTCACTTCCCCAATTCATTGTTCAAAATTAGACATGTCCTGCTAAACCACAAGGGGCCTGGGAAGTGAAATTCTACCTTGTAGCTGAGAAACAATGGAGAGTCAAATTAAACATTGAAGGTGGGTGGTCCTGTGGCTCAAAGGAGTAGGGTGCTGGCCTCATGTACCAGAGGTGGCAGGTTCAATCCCGCCCCCCACCAAAAAACTACGAAAAAAAAAATAAACATTGAAGGTGTGGCTGTGGGAGGCTGAGGTGGGAGGATCACTTGAAGCTAGGAGTTCAAGACTTTGTTCTGCTAAACCACAAGGGGCCTGGGAAGTTAAATTCTACCTTGTAGAATGAGAGACAATGGAGAGTGAATTAAACATCGAAGGTGTGGCTGTGGGAGGCTGAGGTGGGAGGATCACTCAAGGCTGGGAACAAGACCTTGTCTCTCCCCAAAATAGAAAAATTAGCTGGATGATGTGGTAGGTGCTTGTAGTCCCAACTACTCAGGAGCCTGAGGCAGGCGGATCACTTGATCCCAGAAATTTGAGGTTGCTGTGAGCTAGGCTGACTCTAGGGCACTCTAGCCTGGGCAACAGAGTGAGACTCTTTTCTTTTTTTCCACAACCTCTCTTCAGAGACTCTTGTCTTAAAAAAGGAGGGGGGGGGAGTTTTATTTTCATTTGTTAAATGTATAGTAGTATTTCTGGTCATACATAAACTTCAGTGGGCTTGGGAGGGAGAAAAGATGTCCCAAGGGCACTCTTCCCTGCTGAATGACAAGAAGAGATGGATCTGTAGTTGTCACCTCTGTTGAAAAGGTAGTTTCTTGTTTGAGAGATTTCTCTTCTGTGTGCATTTGTGTTGAGGTTGTATATGTGTGTTTAAAGCCAAAAGCCACTATTATTATTATTTTTTTTTTGAGACAGTCTCACTATGTCGCCCTTGGTAGAGTGCCATGGCGTCACAGTTTGTCACAGTTCACAGCAACCTCCAACTCTTGGGCTTAAGTGATTCTCTTGCCTCAGCCTCCCAGGTAACTGGGACTACAGGCACCCACCACAATGCCCAGCTATTTTTTGTTGCAGTTGTCTTTGTTTAGCTGGCCCAGGCCCGGTTCAAACCCACCAGTCTCGGTGTATGTGGCCAACACCCTACCCACTGAGCTTGGGCTCACCTTAAGCCACCATTCAGTGGCCTCCACATATTCCAAGCTCTGGCTAAACATTTTATTCAAATTATCTCATTTTGTCCTTTTAACAATCCTATGAAGTGGCTACCACTATTTTTCTTATTTTAGATATGGCTTAGCACAGTTAAGTTGCTGTAAGTTCATAGCCATAAAGTGGAAGAGCTGCATTTCAAACCCAGGTATTCTGACTTGATACTTACATACACCATTCCTTCCTTTTATAGCCTGAGAAGGCAAAAATCAATCCACGAATAGTTAATAGCATGCAGTGTATGTATGACCTCGGGCTATATGCACTTTGTTATAAATGTTGGCATGAAATGAAGTGGGAGATTTAGTTCTCACCCTCAAGATGTTTAGGGTCTAGTTAAGAGGGGAAGAGGGGTGAGAAAAAGTGAACAGGTAAGAGGTTAAAGATTCAACTAATATTTGAATGCCTAGGATTTCCTTAATAGTTTTATTGAAATTTTACGTATAAAGCTGACCCATATCAAGTGTATAGTTCAGTGATTTAATTTACCAAGTGGTAGAACCATCACCATATGTCAGTTTTAGAACATTTTAATCTTCCCAAAAGATCTCTGCTTCTGTTGCCACCCTTGCAACACTAATCTACTTTTTGTCTCTCTCTATAAACTATGTCATTTTTTTCTGGACATTTCCTATAAATGGACTCATACAGTATATGATCTCTTGTGTCTTTTCACTTAGCATAATGTTTTAAAACTTTATCCATATCATAGCACGTTGGTAGTTTGTCCCTTTTTACTGCTGAGTAGTCTTCAATTATTTGGACATTGTGTATTTTATAAATTCATCAGCTGGAGGTGATGTAAGTTTCTACATTTTGCCTATTATGAATGATGTTCTCTAAACACTAATGTACAGATAATCTGAGTGTGAGTTTATGTTTCCATTTCTTTTGGATAGCTGTCTAGGAGTTTCTTTCTTTCTTTTTTTTTTT